TTTAGGGTCGAGGGTTTCGGGTTCAGGGTTCCGGGTTTAGGGCTTAGGATCAGAATTTTGTTGTTCTTGGAGTCACGACTTTCGGATTTAAGATTTGCAGGCTTGATGATGTCGGGCCCTAAACCCTAAACCGAAGTTTCGGTCAGTCTTGCCGAAGCCCCGAGCATCACGGATCCCTTCATAAGGCACGACTCAGCTTCGCATCTCTGATACGGCTTAGGGTTTAGGGTTTAGGGTTTTCAAAACTCTCTGAAATTCTTACAAACATCTGGATTAGATAAGGCAGGTCAAGCCCTACATGTAAAAGTCCTTTTGGACCCTCACAATGCCCCTCCAAAACCCTATCGACCCCAAAATGCCCCATAACCCTCAACCCTAAACCCTAAACCCTCAACCCTAAACCCTAAACCCTAAACCCTAAAGATTGGCCTTGAAGTACGGATCGTCTCCGGCCGGCGTCGTCTGAAGTTGGAAGGGCCAGGTGTGTTGGTGGAAGCCTCGGAGTTGATGGTCGGCTTGGCTTAAGTGCTTAAGCCCCAAAGCCTATACTATAGGGGCCCTAATAATTAGAATGGGGTTTTGGGGCATATTATACTAGAATTATAATAAGGAACCCCCAAAAAAATATAAGTAATGGTTGAAGCCCCTATACTACTTAAGCCCCAAAGCCTATAGTCTAAACCCCCCAAACCACAAAACCTCAACCCCTAAGCCGGAACAACCGCAACCCTGAAAAAGTGGATCCGGGTCGCTGTGCCTGTCAATGCCCGAGAGCTCCCTTTGAACGACGGCATCCCGGGGCCACTGATGCAGATACTTCGTGCCTTTTAGGGGTTTTTTTAGGGTTTCGGGACCGTTCGGACTTCTAAACAAAAGAACACCTAAACCCAAGACTCTGCGTTCTACATTTCATACGCGCAGCCTCGGAAGAGCAAATCATCGATCCACCTCATATGAAGCATAGTCTTGCCTCGGTTCACATTCAAGACAGTAAATTAACCTGCTCTTTGTTGGGACAAGTGTACCATTTACTCTCTATTCATTCATATATATATATATATATATTTATATATATATTTATATTTATGTATATATGCATACATACATACATACATACATACATACATACATACATACATACATACATACATACATACACACACAGCATGTAAATGTGTATATATATATATATATGTATGTATCTAAAGGTGTACACATCTAAGAGTAGCCCAGTTGCAGGCGCAGTCGGCGCTTTGATCGCGCAGGTCCCGAAGATATCCAGGTCTTCTCTGGGGACGCCAGGGCTCCAGGTGCTCCCGTTTTGGGGCGCTCTTGGAGCCCTGAAAGGACCGGATGGAGAAGAGGGGCCCCACGTAGGATTTCCTGGGTTCTTGTTAAGGAGTTTAAGTTACCGTTTTTTCGGGATCTGTAATGAATAAAAAGGCTTCCTTATTTATGGTAACTTAATGAAACTTCCTGAACAAGAACCCAGTTTCGGCCAAACACCAGGCCAGTCGTGGGAGTTCACCGTGTGCTCCAAGCCGTCTTTGCTGCCGGGGCAGCGTGCGACGACGTCGGCCCGCCCTCCGGGGGGCAGGGAGACGTGCGAGATCCATCGTGGGAAGTCGTCGATGTAGATGCCATCTTTTGCGAGCAGCGCGACCTGGGGTTCTTCAAGCTGTCGTTCTTGGGCCTTTTTGTAAGTAGGCTCCCTACCATTGGGGATGTCTATTGGGGCCATGTGGATGAAAAGGATCCTGGGCTATTTTGGATTTGGGTAGTTCTCTAAATAGGTCCCCAATATAGTACGGCACCCTTATAAAAAGGACCCCAAAAGGGACCCTAATTTAGAAAAACTACCCATTGATCTTCGAGCCCTGGGTTTCTCTGAGAATTCGCACCTGGCACTGCCCGAAATCCAGCCAGAGCCACCTCGAAACTCCGGCCATTACCAAGCGCAACCGATGCCATTCCGTCGAGGACACGGTCAGAACAGGCTCCACTGCACCTGGGGCTTTTTGGGGGGTTTAGGGGTGCTCGAAACCCCGTAAAAGAATTGAAGGCCTCAATGCTAAACCCTAAACCCTAAACCCTAAACCCTAAGCCCCAAACCTTGAACCACTAAAAAAGAATTGAAGGCAGCTTCGGTCCTGCTTCTACGCTTTGAACATGCTTCGATAGCAAAAACGGATCAAGGCTTCCTAATGGACAGGCCTGAGTTTCTGAATGCTCGCCCTTAGCACCTGGATCCTCAACCCGCGAATCGTAGCTCCCAAGCACCTATGTCATAGAACCCTCAAAACCCTTTTTATAGAAGTAGGGTGAGGGATCAAAAAAAACAAAAATGCATCAAAAGATACATAAGGAGCCCTTTCTGAACCTTCAGCTCCCTGGGCTAGGATTAGGGGGGGACCCTTGGGAATCAAGACCCTCTCAATAGGATCCCCTTTTAAAGAGAGCCATAAAAGTACTAAGTTGTCCTTCCAGCCCTTTGAAAGTTATTTACTATTATGGTTCTCTACAAAATAGTAAGGGAAATTAAAAAAACATCCCAAAAGACAACCCAGAGTATGATTAAGAAGGGTCCCCTTCTAAGAAGGGTCCTCTTCAGGGGGTCTCTAGGTCCCCAAAGCTTCCTAAGCCCTAAGCCCTAAACCTCTAAACCTCTAAACCTTTAAACCCCTAAACCCTAAACCCTAAAACCCTAAACCCTAAACCCAAAACCCTTTAAACCCTTTAAACCCTTTAAACCCTTTAAACCCAAAACTTCAGCTCCCTGGGGCGCCGTTCACCAGCCACAGGTCTTCGGGGACTTCCTCGGAGACCTGGGTGGTTGTCAAAATTATGGTCCCTTTTGGGGTACCCTAAATATTAGGTGCCGTATTATATTACGGACCCAAAAAGGGACCCTAATTTAGAGCCCCTTTTTGGGTCCTTATTATAATACGGCACCTACCTATAGCGTCATACCCTACCCCTGTTTTAAGGTACCTAGTTTTATGGTTAGGAACTGCTATATAGAAAAGTAGGTACCCTAAAAAAGGGGTAGGGTATGACCCTATAGGTATTATTTAGGGTACCCCAAAAGGGGCCATAATTTTGACAACCACCCACCTGGAAAAGGCGGTCCCCGGAGGCGCGCGCGGCCTCTCAAAGGGGGGGGGGAGGGTCGGGCCTCGTGAGGTTCTTTTCGGGCTCTTAGGGGGGGGCTTATGGTTTAGGGTTTCAGGTTTAGGGGTTTAGGGTTTAAGGTTTAGGGGTTTAGGGTTTCACGTTTAGGGGTTTAGGGTTTAGGGTTTAGGGTTTAGGGTTTAGGGTTTAGGGTTTAGGGTTTAGGGTTTAGGGGCTTAAGGGATGTAATCTAAGGCTCTCAGGGCTCTTAGGGTGTAGGGTTGAGGTACCTCGCAGCTTGGGGCTTAAGGGGCTTTTAGGGTTTCAGGTTTAGGGGGCGCCTCCTGCAGCTGTCTGATGGCCACGTTCCTGGCAGCAGCAGCTTTGGGCTTTAGAAAAGCGATATAAGGGCTCCTGGGTGCATCTTTGTGCCGAATTAGGGTTTTACGCTCTCCGCGTTTTGGGAATAGGGGCTTGGACTCTGGGCCTTGGGATTTGACGGCTTTCCGACCCTGGACTGCAGGGCTTGGGGACTTCAAACTTCGGGGTCTCCGTTTAGGGTTTAGGGTTTAGG